GAGGAGGGGTAGGAGAGGGGTGGAAGGTTCAATGGATCAAATCATTTTCCCCTCCCCAATCAAAAACAAAAACAAAACAAAACAAAAAAAAAGTGGTAAGGAGAAGACAAGTATTGAATGAGTCCACGAACACCACTTCAAATGCACTTGATCACAGACTGTCAACACACCTGACATCATAAGACCGTCTTCGAGATCCTGACCCGAGTCATATCTGGCCTTTTTCCTGGTGTCTGATAACACACTGTATGCCTCATTCACCTACAATAAACACCAGTAGTGGGATAAGAGTGTTGTCATCATTACAACCTGGCTTTAGTAGCGGTCGCTGTTTGGGAGATGAGCCCAAGCTTATCACTGCTCAGGTAACACAGAGGTCAAACGCCCGAGCATGCGCAAAGCTGAGTGACAAGCTAGTAAAACGTAAGTCTCCTTGACAGGGCTCAAAATACAACGGCAGATCAACAGAATACTAGTGGTTAAAAAAGCCCCGTGTTAAAAAAAATCTCGAGTTTTTCTTTTTTCTGATTTTGTTTCCTTTTACATATTTCTACGAACGTTGCAATTTTTCGCGTATTTAATTTACGTGACAGCGCTTGTTTCTTATTAATTCCTGTCATTTTGCACGGGAAATAGACCACTTTCATAAATGGCTGCCGGATTAATATTCTTTTGTTTAAATCTAAATTAGCCCTACTGGCCTCGTTCTCCAGTACAAAATTCAAAAGAACACATTATCTCAAGCGAGGCCAGTAGGGCTAATTTAAATTTAAACAAAAGAATATTTATACGGCAGCCATTTATAAAAGTGGTCTATTGGTGTGCGGCCGGTCAGAATCTTGGGTGTGACTGGGGGCATGCGCACTCTCATTCAAAGAACACGAGCATATGAGCGGGCAAGTGAGAAGCAAAAGCTGCGGTTACCAAGGCAACAGTCTCTTCTGTTTTTCCGCGCACCTTCTCTTTAAGCCAAGCCGGAGCTAACGCTATTACAAAGTGTTCAGTAGTTGGCGATTACACGTTCATAAAAACAGATCTCGACAACATGAGGTACATACGGCGGGAAGATGAAAAGGATGAATACAGATTGGAATATGGCCAAGGAGAGCTTAACAAACCTCTTTGAATAACACCTCCTCACTTTTCTTGACTTCTTCTGTTGCCCCAGAGTGCCGATCTGATGAGGAAAAAGAGCTAGATCAGTTGGGATGTAAACTTTTTAAGAAATACAATCCGTAGAAAGAATGTTTACTTGTCTTTCTTAAAAAAGTGAATTGATTAATCATTCAATTATTTAAGCATGATCAATAAAGAAATATATAAAACACAAACACGCATCTGTATAACTAAAAGAACGAACAAGAGGCTGAAAAATCTTGGGGGAAGGGAGACTGCAGCGTTTTTATCCCGTGGAGAAGGAAAACCAGTTAAATTTCGAACCATGAGATGTTTCGGAGAGCCCTGCATTTAGAGAAATGATGATTCTACCCCAGTTTCCCACGCCTGACCTGGGTGATGTTTAAGTGCTTCTTTCTTATAAGCTTTCTTTATTTCATCTTCAGTAGCGCCCTTGGCAATCCCTAAAATTTTGTAGTAATCTTTTCTTTTACTCCTTTTCAAAGCCATTTTTGCTTCTTCCAGCAGACGTCGATATTCTGAAAGACAAGAGAGATAAATTCAACAGACAAGTCCAAGTGTGAGATTCTGGGCCCAGTTGTTCAAAGGTCGATTAGCACTAACCCAGGGTTAAATTTTAATCTAGGTTTCTAAATTTCTCTGATCAAAAGCCGTTTTGGGATAGTTTTTCTAATTCTTTCTAGGACATTCAATCATCAAATTGTAGACAAGTGGAATTAAACTGAATTCTCTTTTAGAGCTTTCGGATCTGAAATCAAATTTCACACTAACCCTGGGTTATCTTAATCCAGCTTTGAACAACCCGGCCCAGATGTACAAGTTTATACAAATTCTCACCTCGAGATCGGTCCATTTTACACACTTTCTCGAAATCTCGAACGGCTTCTTCGAATTTTTCTGTTTCCATGTAACTGAAAAATTAATAGCAAGTTCTTCTCATTACCAAGGAGCAAGGAATACTTTAACCTAGTTTCATTAACCCTTTACACCCTACACCTTTACTCCCCTGAAAAAACAATGCGACTCTCCCAAAAATCCTTCGACCCCAAGGAGATAAATAACTGACTGATGCTTGGAGTTCCAAACGTCCGGGTCCCGCTCGTTCAAAGGTTAGATAACGCTATCCATTGCGTAGTGTGTTTTGCTATCAGTTGTTCGCTGGATAGCGATTTATCTATTGCATAGCGTTATCTGTTCTTTTTACAACTGCACCCAGGAGTAACCCCGTTGCGCATTCTTTTTGTCTCGTTTGAGTTACTTCAGATGACTTCTGGATAATGTAGGAAAAAAATTAGGTTCCGTGACGAGTGCACAATGTAACGGGCAAAATTGATTTGAATCAGCACACGCGAGGGAATAGTCGCGCGCGAACGTGGAGGTGCGAGGAAGCGAAGAGCCACGCGCGTCTCTATGAAACTCACCATCTCGCTCTCTTGATATAAGCCTTAAGGTAGGTGGGGTCCAATTCTACAGCTTGACTGCAGTCCTCAATGGCTTTCTCTGTTTGGTTTTGCTGTTTAAAAATCAAATAGGTTGATTGCTATAAGCGGGGAGCTTTGGCCAATTTGTAGATTGTTAACCGTTTATTAGTCGTTGTAACAACCACAGTATCAAACAACTTTAAAATGATATGATTAAGAAACAAATAATCATGAGCTGAAGTTTTTAAAATGCTCACAGGTTTAATGTCCTCGTTTTCAGTCACAGATTTCTATGAACGTTTCAATTTTTTCGCGTATTTACGTTACAACGGTTGTTTCTCGCTTATGTTGCACGGGAAATTGGCCGCTGCCAGCCAAAATTGTTCCATCTGCGCATCCCCTACGCTTGACCGCTGGGCATGCATTCTCTCATTCAGAGAAGACTCACCTTGGAGCAGACCAGCGCTCTGTTGTAACATAGCTTGGCATTTGTTGATTTATTGCGTGGGTCAATTGTTAATGCTTCGGAGTAGATGTCATAAGCTTGTTGATATTTTCCTCCGGTGAAAGCCTCATTTCCCTCTTGCTTCTTGGATTGTAAATGTTTCGCTTTCTACAAAGCAGAAAAACAGAAATGGGGTTGGGTTATTAGACAAAGTAAGAGCAAATTTCAAAGAGGAACAATTTTCAATGAGTGTCGCAAATAATCCGGGATTGCACTGGTTTTGCTTAACTTCGTTCTTTGATTGGTCCAGAAATTCGTGCCACTCTCTCAACCAATCAGATGTAAAACTGATACCAATCACGACTTGGTCGCCCGCGTTTCAGTCCCGGGCTTTTGGTGAAGTGCTTGTTTTAAATCTGAGTTCTTACTGGCTCTTCAGGTTATTTTCCTTCCTTCTGATTGGCTGTCGTCATTAATTTGATTTTGGTTTTTCGACAGTCAATTTAAAACTGTATTATACATGGTAAAACAATCATTATTGAACCTTCAGTGCCAGTCTTGCTTTCTTGTGGTCTGGATCTCTCCTTAAAACTTGATTGAAATGTTGGAACGCTTTGTCAACATGGTCCTGAAATAAAAAACAGAATAATAAATACAATTGGAAGCCATTAGATATCTTTTCTTACTTCCCCCCTTCCCAAACTCCTTTTTGAGGGTCCTTCACATTTTCTCAATACACCTGAATGATGTATGAATTTATTTTATTAACGATTGAAAGCTACTCGCTACAATACAAAAGTAAGAATGAAGATGAATGATAAAATAAAACAAGCCTTATAGAAGATCTGTAAAAGAGTCTTTGACCCCATATAGAAACAAAATACCAAAACAAAAATATCTCAGATTCTCTACCTCTATGGAAAGATTAGAAAACCCAGACAACCCAAACTGCAATAAGTATTTACAAGTGTGACTGTGCAACTGTAAATTTACAATTTTGTACTTGAGTTCATTTGAGAATTAACACATTTTTCATTGTCACAATATTACAAGCTTTGGTCCTATCACTCCTGGGATTGATCAAAATGAAAATTCTCCCCACATTATTAATGTATTGTCAAGTAGAATGGTGACGAGAAGAAAGGATATACCATTAGGGAATGGTGTTTAATTTAACACCAAATTCTCACTGCTAAACTTATAATAAATGTATAGCAAAGAGTGTTGAGACTTTAATTTTAAATCTTAAGAGTGGAAGCAGTAAAGTGAAGAGAACGCTATACCTGATAGTATAAGCAGAGCCCTTTCACATAAAGTGCATCTGAATTCAATGGGTCATCTATTATGATATTTCTGAGGATGAATCAAAGTCACTTTTATATAATAAGCTGTATTACGCATGCATTTTGAGTGGCTCATCTATTGGAGTACAGACGCACATATGACATCATCATTGAATATTTTTGCTTCTTTATAATAGAAAACAAATAAGATTCCATGCTGCCATGGATCACTGAGATCATAAAGATGTGGTAAGAACATTAGTGACACAATTGGCTGCTGCTCGCATGAGTGACCATGACAGAATTTCTCCTTACAATATCATGACAACATCAAGCAGACAAGTGAAGAGAATATCGAAGAAAATTAAGTGAGGGATCATTAGTTGATCCAATACCAAATTCCTCAAACTCACATCATAAATATTGTATGGTAGAAAGTAAGGAGAATTACTTATCAGATAATAATAATAATAATAATAATAATAATAATAATAATAATAATAATTTATATAGAGTAAAAACCCGTGTGTAAGAACCTAGTTTTTTTATGTTCATGTCTGGCAAAATAGGTTCTTATGTTTTGGGGTATTTACTGACAACTTAGGCAAAACAGGTTCCTAATAGGTTCTTAGCCTCAATATTTCAGACGTGAGGACATGCCTGACTTAATTTTCTATACTATACTGTACAATACACTGTGTACTGAACAATGTACTTAATTATACAGTTTAGAAGTTTATACCCAGGAGTACATTTTTGTTTTTTGAACTTGCTATAATACATGACTGTGGAGGTGTAGTGGCCTCATGGTTGGTGCGCTCGACTCCGGATCGAGTGGTCCGGGTTCGAGCCCCGGCCGGGGACTTTGTGTTGTGTTCTTAGGCAAGACACTTTACTCTCACACTGCCTCTCTTCACCCAGGTGTTTAAATGGGTACCGGCAATTTAATGCTGGGGGTAACCCTGCGATGGACTGGCATCCCATCCAGGGGGGGAGTAGAAATACTCCTAGTCGCTTCATGCTACAGAAACCGGAGTTAAGCACTGGCCTAATGGGCCACTAGGTTTGTAAACAGACTTTACCTTTAATACATGACTGGGAGCCATAAATACAGTGGGGAAACTGTATTGTGACACGTTTTATGGAAGTATCAAATAATTTATATAGAAAACATTTATTTTATAGTTACAGACATATTTTGCTACAACATTGTTTCATTATCCAGAATGACTCTTCATATAAGAACCATGCAGGTTTCGCTGGGTAAACAGGCTCTTATATTTTTGGGTATTAAAATTTCTGCCAAAAAGGTTGTTAATTACAAGGTTCTTACACCCGGGTTTTTACTGTAGTGCAGACCTCTATGTGGATATATTCAGTCGTGCTTCACAGTATTGTAAGGTAAAATTATGTTAAAAGTTACTAAAAATATAAGGAACTATTAAAACCTACGAACCTATGCACACGAAGGGAACAGTTACCAAGTAAATACTAGTTAAAACTATTTGAAAGCTAAATTAAAAAAAATGAGTTTTGACAGCAGTCTTGAAAGCGTCCAATGTCTTTATGTTGCAAATTGTGGAAGGTAAGATCTTGGGAGTGAAGAATTACCGGTAACACATTTTGGCATTATCTATGATCTAGTACTGAAGAGACACACAGCAACGTGGAATCTGAATTGATCATGTACACAAAAACAAATCTCTCACTCCTGAATTTATTATCAGTAGCATCATTAATAAGAGTTGTACTTACTGGACATCTGTTAATGCGTCGCTGTATTTCCCCATCTGGCAATAAGCTTCTGCTCTCATTACTTTGTAAAGTGCACAAGCAGGACAATCTTCGAGGATGTGATTCAAGTAATAGATAAGCTGTTGTGTATGAAAAAAAATCACAACACTGAGACCAATGCAGAATGATATACTGATAGTAAGATCTTAGTGCGCTTAATGCTCTAGTGAGAACACAGTGCCTTACAGACAGATTCAAAGTGAAAAGGTCAAGTCTGTTAATGAGACGAGTGACCCATCAGGTCGGCGCTTAAGGTGTCTGAACACAGTTTTTTATACCTTTGTTTCTTTCGCCATTTTCTCTAAAACCCTTGATCTCTCGGTCGCCAAAACTGGCAGCTTC